TATATTGTTATCCATTATCTGTTTGTTCTAAAAACTATAAAATCATCAAAAATTTTTAAGATTTATTAATGTGCATTCAATTAATAAATTATTCTAAGTATACGTAGCAACACCACAATGAATTTCCGCAAAAATATAAGCCCGTAAACTCGAAGTCAAATATATTTTACATAGATTAACACACCAAAAACTTCAAACGACAGACTGAAAATCACTCCATTGGAAAAAAAAAAAGAAAATTAAATACTAATTCTCAAGCACTTCTGAACTTCCTCAGCATATCATTAAGAGCTAAATTTGTATCATAAAATTTGCAGAAAAAATTTGAAAATGAACAAAAATTAAATATTCTGAATGTCCGAGATAATTACTCCATTAACTCCCCACACCACTGATGGAGTAGTCACTTCTTAAGATAATACAAATGGTGTTAATTATCCATCCATTAGAGACAGCCAGAAGTAAGAATCTTTCAGGAAATAAAAGATTCTCAGGCAGGTGATAAAGGGATAAGAAATGCAAACTTCAATTGTTGACAGATGAGTAGGAAGATGGAATCAGGGATGACTAGAAGAGCTCAGCACTGGTCATTCAGTTTTATTGTGCCAATTGAACCTGTCTGTCCTGTACTCCAGTGTTTTTCAACCTGTGGGTCGCGACTCCCAGGGGAGTTGCAAAGCCTTACACGAGGGGTCGTAAGTAAAATAAAAAGACAAGTGTTTGTAGGTCCTACACTACAATAAAAAAACTACAAACTCAGTGAGAAGGCTATGCCTGTTTATTTTACAGTAAAATTGGTTTTTTGATCAATATTTAGGTCTCAACAGAAAGAAACTTAAATACGTAGTTTTTAAAATCACTGACATAATTTTAATATGGCCCTGGGGGTCACCAGAATTTTTTAACTTGTAAAGGGGTCGCTTATTCAAAAAGGTTGAAAAACACTGCTGTACTCAATACAATATTAAAACTTTCACAGTACATTAAACAGTCAATTTATAGATTAAACTTTACATACACAAGCAGAGGTATATTCCAAATGGAATAAGAAGGAACACATTTTCTTTTAACACGTCACTTTCTTTTAACTCTTTCTACCTTGTAGAAAGAGTTAAATGGTAGAAAAGCATGTATCCATAGGACAAAAATATAAAAAAATAGATTTATATATTTGTATATCAGATATTTTGTGACAATTTTTTTAAAATATTGAAACAAAATGCAAAAATTAAATACATACTTATGCTTCTGTATGTCTTGTATGCCTCCTTTTTGATAACCAATTCGTTCCGAAGGATTATCTCTATTAAAAAAGACAAATTAATTAATTATTTAATTACTTTGTTAATTTTTAAAATTATATTAAATTTATAATAAATTCTAAATATACCTGCATAATTTCTTTATTAATGCCATGGCATTTCTAGTTATGCAACGAGGAAAGTCCACTGCGTCAATACCTTTAAGGATAATGTTGTATGTTTTCATGGGATCGGGTCCAGTGAATGGAGGACTATAAATAAAGATATTAAGTATTTAAACTATTTTCTTTTTAAATTTTATTACATTTCCGCAGTTTAATATGCACTTACGTTCCAGTGAGCAATTCAAACATAAGCACGCCAAGAGACCAATAATCGGCAGATATATCATGACCTCGGTTTAGTATTACTTCTGGAGCTACGTATTCCGGTGTTCCGCAAAATGTCCACGTTTTACGACCATTGTGCAGCTTTTTAGCAAAACCAAAATCAACCTGTCAAAAGAGTAAGTGTCAAAATTAATCAAATGATCAATCAAGTCAAAATTATTAAAAGCTAAATAAAGATTCTTACCAATTTAACATAACCCGTATTATCTAGTAACATATTTTCTGGTTTCAAATCTCTATAAATTATATTTCGAGAATGGAGATAATCGAAAGCTTCTACTACGCAACCAGTATAAAATCTTGTAGTGTTATCATCGAAATTACCCCTGTAAATTATAACGAAGGTCATATATTAAATAACTTCAAATATAGTCTTCTGAAACAAATGCTACCATTTTAAATTACTGTAATTATATTAATTATTAACCAAGAATGTTGTAATGCATATTAAAATATTAGAAAACTGTCCAAGTTTCACATTTGCCCATTACAACTTTTCAACGTGTGCACCTCATGTCATGTGGCATGCATACAACTGATACTCAAATTCTTCTTACACTCGCTACAGCATAACTGTTGTCACTCTCCCAAAGACAGCTACAGTTCTATGACTCATGCAAATTATTCGTGTCACACAATGACAAGCGATTCTGACTTTGCAAACTGCAGAACACAAAATGCCTTCTCTGTTGCAGTGTCACCATTTTCATTTATAGAAGGATGTAGAAGAATAGAATCCTTCTTTTCAGACAGGAGATGAAACTTGAAAATTTACTCATAGTACTGTAATGTTATTCTTAGAATACATTGTGATCATAGGTAGACCCTCTTCAGCCACTTTTATTATAGGTAAGGCTTTTGGCGGGACAGTCCCGATTTTTAACAATTTGTCCTGCATCCTGTGGCATTTTAAAAAGTCCCAAGTTTTGGAAAGATTAAGTTTTTGCCAATTATGTATCATAAAATTATGTCTTATGTTTTAAGATTCATAAAAATCATTTTGTATCACGCGTATCAGTACCAATGTGTGCATGATCATCACAAATAAAGAATGCTGTGCCGACAAAACCCTTTGTGTTTGTGGCAAAGACCGACAGAAAATAGTTTAGGGCATGCAGCTGCAGCAACAGAGTAGCACATGTTCACAGGCTATCGAAACGAGCGAACATTTTGTTCATTGCATGTTGCATGGCACAGAGCTGTCATCTGTCGCCACCTTAGAAAGCTAGTGACTAGCAAGAGTAAGCACATTGGTTTGCATCACTCTAATGCTAGCGGTGGGGCTGAGGTTTTTTTTGTTAGGACAGTATTATGTAATAAAAAAAAATTACAATAATAAAGTGACATTGAAGGCAAATTCAGAGGATAAGTAATACAAGTTAGTATTATTATTAATTATAATTATATTGTTATCCATTATCTGTTTGTTCTAAAAACTATAAAATCATCAAAAATTTTTAAGATTTATTAAGTTGTAAATGAGAAACAATAGATTTATATTTTTAGAAAAAAGTAAAATGTAGGGTGAAATAAAAGGTAAGTTTGAGAAATGATTTGACATAAAAGACAACAGGAGGGAAAAGAGTGATTAACTAATTGCCTTTTATTAATGCAACCTTGACCAGCTCTTTGTATAGAAGCTCTTAGTTATATTTATTTATCTATATACCTTCTACCCATTTTAAAATATGCTTAAAGTATTAATTAATGATAAAATATGATCCTAATTTATTTTTATCTAAATAAAATTTTACATTAATCAAGACAAGTTTTCCTATCTAGAATCTTCTAGGGTATAGTTATTTATGTGTGTGTATATGTACTGTATGTGTATTGACCTGGATTTATACGAAACCCAGATTACTATACGTGTTAGGTATATAAAGAACCACCCACTTCTGATTTGTTATGGTATAATTAAACTTTATGGGTTTAAAAGTATTCAGTTCGATCCAATTTTGGAGAGGTTTTGATGGACAATTTATAGTGTTTAATACATATTTTTTCACCTATATATTGTTATATTTTTTAAGTATTGCCTAATATCAATTATTCCATGTGGAATTTAGAAATATGGCTCTTTCCTAGGCCCACAATATGTAGACATCCCAAAAACTAACTTTGTCACTTTTGAACCGAATGATTCAATTTTTTTTATTTTAATTCTGCAATAATTGTATTTTTACATTTATAAATGTCGACAGGGCGAAGGGCACTGCTATTGAAAACCCGTCGTGTCTCTACTCTGCTCGTACAAAATATAGCTCATGACTACTACTCAACTTAAGCTTTTAATTTGGACTAATTCCTTTATGAATTGTTTTTACCTAAAATACTTTTTCGCCATTTTTATTGTTACAGTATAATAATTATTATTGACTTAGTGTATCCCCAAACTATTGTGCTCCTAAGCCCGAGTTTAGTGAGCCAAATGGGAAATCAACCACTGTTCATCCCTATTAATTAAGGCAACTTTTCATTTATTGATGAGTTCATTCTCATTTTTCAAAATTCATGGCCAAAATAAAACAAACTGTTTATAATTACGTTATGCAAAACAATAAAATATCAATTCACTCAAATATTTTCACTTTTTTTTTACTTAAGGACATCAAGAATGTTCTTATTGCAGACCTATTATGAGCCTAATGAAGTCTCAATGGAGTAATCTAGTGAAGAAACAAGATTGGGTACACAAGGGCTACACGATTCACTAAAAATTCCTGAGAAATCGAACTAAACCTTTCGGAAAAATTAAATCTTTCATATATATTATTGAATTCGGGCCAGAAGCCAAATAATTCAAGGTTGAGCTATAGGAAATGAATATATATTAATTTATAACATGTGCCAATTAATAAAACATAAAAATTAGTCGTCACTTTTTTTTTATTTTTGATTTTAAACTCACCCTGTGGTCTAATGCCTACAGGGTGAGTTTAAAATCAAAAGCCCTTTTCAAGTAATTTTGCTAAAACTTTCTGGAGAAAATTATAATAAAAGCAATTCTCTTGTCTTCTTGGTGTCCACAATTTGCTTGGCATTTTATGCAATTGTTTAATCGACTACACTGGGATTTGATTTTATAAATGGTCTGTCTGATAACAAAAGATTTGAACTCGAATCATTCGTTATAAGAAACTTCTTATCTTATAGCCATTCCTCCTAATTACAGTATGAAATAATCAAAGACCGCCATATTTAAATTTGTTTCATAGTTATAAATTGATAATTGAAATTACTTTTTCTAACTGCCCGTAAGTGGTAAAAGAGCAAAACCACTAAACACTTATCGTGGGTTTGTGCCTGCTCAACGAGCTAGCTAAGTGAATAGGATTAATAGAATAAGGCAACGTAACATTTGCGAGAGCTGCCAACGGGAGATGCCTGAGGACTTTCTATGGGAAACTGGCCTTGTTTACGTGTTAGATACGAAAACACATAATTTAAACTTGGCCAGTTTCCCGTAGAAAGTCCTCCCGATAAGCATCTTTTCTTGGCATAACGCCCTCGTTTTTTTAAAAAAAAATATTCTAAGAAATTAATTAACCAAATAAAAGATGATAAATAAATTGTTCTTCTTATTTAATTATTGAAAAATGATTAAAACCTAATAATTAAATGAAGAAAGATATATGAATAAATTTCATCTATGAGAATGTTGATATATCAGTCATGAGCAACTCGCAGCCCTAACTACTAGGCTATCCCATTGTAGGCCTGGCCGAACCCATAACGGGATTACTAAAAATGCTCTCTTATTGCCCATAGGAAATTAAAACAAAAAGCAATTCGCAATTCACGAAGTCCTAATGTACAGCGCCTAGAGTCTTTGGCAACGTAATTTATTACCTTCTTTTTTTTTATCTCGAGTCATTACGCAAGCCTAATCAAGTCGATATTAAAGTGATAAAGAACAATTCAAATTAACCTTGACTACTAAATTAATGGCAATATTACTATATAATGGACCACTTCCAGAAAGGTAGTGGCCCACATTATTTGCATATTTGAAAAATAGTAAGAAGAATGCTATGTTTATTTATTTACTTTCGTCTCTTTCCCACCAAGTGGCCACTAAAACATTTTTTTCCATACTCATCGTGGTTTAGGCCAGATTAACAATGGGAGCAGATGATAATACAAATGGGCGAGCAATCCCAGGCCTACCAGTGAACGAGTGAATAAAACCACTAAACACTGGTAGTTGGGTGCGGGTTTGCGAGCTGGCCATGTGGAGCTTTCCGTTTTCTTCACGTTTATAACACCTAAATAAGATCCATTTTTCCTTAGAAAGTCCATCCGGGAGACATTCCCCCTCGGCAGATCTCCCACGTGCCCAAGCGAGCAATCCCAGGGATTTTCCCGTTTGTCACCCAGCTGCCCTAATTGTGAATTTGGTCTAACCCATGATGAGTATGGTTAGCATCGGTATAGTTCATGGTTCGCGCTGTTCGCAAATGAGAAGGACCCACTTCGCAATTCTAGAAACCCCAAAAAAACAGTATAAAAATCTCCTCTGCCTCAGATTTGACATTGGTCTTAGACAATTTTTATGTTTTCCTACGCCTAATTCTGGCCCTGAATATGCCCTAATTGTTTCGAGCAGTGTATATTAACTATTCATATAGTTTTATATAATTTTGAAAAAGTATTTATGAAAAATTATATTTATATTTTACAGATAAAAATGGAAAGATCTTTGAGCTCTGAAGTCTACTTCGCAAACTATTCGGTCGTTTTCAATTTCGAGAAGAATTTCGATGGAAGTTTCAAAAGAAAATGGATGAAAAACAATTGGCATCAAGCATTTTATTATTCGGCAGCTTACGTCATCTTAATTTTTATTGGCCAAGCATATATGAGGGCACGACAACCTTTCCAACTTAGAAAACTCTTATGCTTATGGAATATTTGTCTTTGCCTCTTCAGCACCGCGGGGGCATTAAGAACACTGCCAGAATTAGTGCACATTGTACGCCGGTTTGGATTCACCCAATCAGTTTGTAATCCGAGTTACTTGGACGATTCTCAAGTCACTAGTTTTTGGACATGGATCTTCGTTATGTCAAAATTACCCGAATTTTTGGACACAGTTTTCATAGTTCTACGTAAACAGAAATTGATATTCTTGCATTGGTACCATCACGCAGTCACTTACCTTTTTGCGTGGTACAATTACGCTCATCAGGTTGCTCCCTGTCGATGGTTTATTACCATAAATTTCAGTGTTCACGCTGTTATGTACGGTTATTATGCCCTGAAGGCCATGAAAATTCGAGTGCCTCGTCGTTTCGCTATGATGATTACGGCTTCTCAAATTATTCAAATGTTAATAGGCTGTTGGGTTGTGTATTGGAGTTA